ACATTTCTGTGACAAACTGCACGAGGCCTGGCAGCAACAAAACCTATGCCAACCTTCTGAATGTGATCTCAGCCACTTCACTTTCATCTTCCAAATCTTGCAGAAATTTTTCTTATGGTCAGTCCTAACCCAGATCATCTTGCAAAGGCAATTCTAAGAAACCTAGTCTCAACTTAGCGAAAGTGACATAGTGCAAAGCCACCATATCTTGGTAAGCTGCTTTCATATTCCACTGTCCCATCCCCTCAAAACTGGTCAAAGTAGATGGTCTGTAACCCATTTCCTCATTTCAAATTTTAGCTCATTTCTTATTTGAAAAAATATATAATTAGTATCTTTACTACCTGAGCAAGCACTTTTATCATTTATTAGTACACAAGCAAGCACCTTTATAGCAAAAAGTATTATGCGTCTATAAATTGCATTTATTCTTAAGGAAATTTCTAGCTCTTAGTATGTGTGACATACATTCAGTGAATCAAAAATCAACTTATGTTTTAATAAAAATATGTTTGGAGTTCTGCACTGGGAAAGGTCCTGTGAGGAGAACAAAAAGACAAGCTACAGAGTGGGAGAAAATATTTAGCAATCACATACTCGACAAAGTACATGTATCTAGAATATATAAAGAACTTCAATACTCAACATTAAAAAAAAAAAAAACCTACAAATAGACAAAAGATACAAAGGCACATTTACCACACTCTTTGGTTTAATATCAGATGTTTAATAACTTCACCCATTAGGGAATGGTAAATTAATGAGGTACATATAGAGGTGTGATATCATTACATGTCTATCAGAATGGCTACAGTAAAAAACAGCAACAATACAAAGCGCTGGCGGAGATGCACAGAAACTGGATTACTCAGACACTGCTGGTAGGAACATCCGGAAAACAGTGTGGCAACTTCACATAAAGCATATAAACATGCAGCCATCACATGACCCAGCAATTGGACTACTGGGCATTTATCCCAAAGAAATAAAAATTTATGTTTATATATTTTTATTAAAACATAAGTTGATTTTTGATTCACTGAATGTATGTCACACATACTGAGAGCTAGAGATTTCCTTAAGAATAAATGCAATTTATAGATGCATAATACTTTTTGCTATAAAGGTGCTTGCTAGTGTACTAATAAATGATAAAAGTGCTTGCTTAGGTAGTAAAGATACTAATTATATATTTTTTCAAATAAGAAATGAGCTAAAATTTGAAATGAGGAAATGGGTACGTGGATTTGTATAGCAGCTTTATTTGTATTAGCCAAAAGTTGGAAACAACCCAGATGTCCGCAACAGGTGAACAGTTATACAAACTGTGGTATATCTATACAATGGAATACAACTCAGTAATAAAAAGGAACAAACTATGGATACATGCAACAGCCTGAAGATCCAGAGACATGCTGAGTGAAAAAAGCCAATCTCAATAGGTTACATACTACGTGACTCCATTTATACAACAGTATTAAAATGACAAAATGATAAAAATGGAGAAGAGATGCATGGTTGTTATGGATTTGGGTGAGGGGATTATAGATTAGGCAGTTGTTAAAGATTAGGTGTCCATGACTGCGATAAAGAAGTACCAAGGATCCTTGGGATAGAACTGTTCTATATCTTGACTGTGGTGGTACTCTCTGAAATCTACACATATGATAAAGCTGTATAGAACTAAATACACACTTAGTAAAATAAAAAAAAAAAAGAAGTACATATAAAATGGGTGAAATCTGACTAAATGCTGTAGATTGCATCAATATCAATTTCCTGGTTGTAATATTATACCATCATAATGCAGGATGTTACCATTGGGGGAAATGGATAGAGTATAAGGAATTTCTATATTATTACTCAAAACTGCATGGGAATGTACAATTATATTTTTAAAAAAATTTTTTAAAGGGGTTTGAAATCTCAAAGTTTTTGCTCAAGCATAATTTAAGATACAGTTAAAATTGTTTGCACAGATTTAAAGGGCCCTTTGAATTGTGTTTTCACTAATTATCTAAAATGAAAATCATAAAGATACAATCTATGTGAAGTATCTAGGCCAATAATTGGTTCATAGTGAATAGTTAATAAATGTGGCTTTCTGTCCTTCTTTGTACCATCCTGTAGAGTTGTGTGGGTCTAAAGTCATTGATGTCCTCCAGCTTCATGCTATCACACTAGAAGATGCAGTTTCACCTTAGGTGACCATAAAGAAAGCTGTCCAGTCTTATTTAAATCAATGCATGTGAGCACAGAAAGACTACTTAACATTCTCTTTCTGAAGAGGCAGTTATCTCTTTCCAATTAGTGCTGTGTTGCTCCTCTAGATTTGCAACTCAATCTTCTCAAAAAACAAGTGTATCTTTCACAGGCAGTGGCATATAATATACAGCAAGCTATGCCTCTTAGATACCAAGCTGCTTGTTACAATCAATGATTACCGCAAGAGTCCCTCAGCTCTCTTCCTCCTAAACCCCCCAACTCTCCTTTGCCCTTGTTCTGTCAACCCCTAGCTAATCTTCCTCTTAATCAGTGGTCTTACTTCTTTGTCTACTCCCTCCACCCCTCCCTTCTGCTGTCTCCATTATGAAGAAAAATAAAACATTTTAGGTGAGGTGCAGTGGCTCATGCCTACAAGCCCAGCACATTGGGAGGCTGAGGCTTAAAGATCGCTTAGCCAAGGAGTTCAACACCGGCCTACACAACACAGGAAGATCCCATATCTACAAAAAAAAAATTTAAAAATATATCTGGGTGCACGGTATGTGCCAGTAGTTCCAGCTACTTGGGAGACTGAGGCAGGAGAATTGCTTATGTGCAGGAGTTTCAGGCTCCAGTGAGGAATAATCGTGCCACTGCACTCCAGGCTGGAGGACAGAGTGAGATCCCATCTCAAAAAAGAAAAAAAGAGAAAAGACAGAGAAAAAAGAAGAAAACCTTCTAGAAAGTCAAGAAGTGAAAACCCCCTTCCCTACTCTCCAGCAAGTAGGTACAGGCATTTGACTCTGCCCTTTTTAATTGAAAAACACTCAGACTTTTGACCAGGATGATCTCCATGGCTGTTACAAAGACAGCAAGCACATCTCATGCTGTGAATTTACACACCTTAAATTAACCAACAACCCTGACGGTAATAAATGAAAAAGCAGGTCAATCTAGAAGTGAAACATTTATATTCGTCCCAAGGAGATTTTAAGAAACATCTGGGAAACTGAATAACGAGGTTAGCCGAGGTGATCTTTGAGCAGAAAACCAGAACAACTTTCTAAGAGGACAAATGTCTATAACATATTATCTTCAAAGTCAAATATGTAATTTTCTCACTCTCCTTAAAAACATTAAACTTTCAGTGGAAGGCGTAAGTCAAAAACCCATGAATTGTTGCCGATTGCTATGGTTTCCTTTTCTAAGTCATCAGAGACACCTGTCAAGAGGCCTAAGCCTCTCAGCCAGAGCAGGCTTTTCAAGCTGCCAACCCCGTCTCAAATAATCATTACCATAAACACGGGTTCCTATTACACCCGTTGGAAAAAGGCTGAAAACGCCGATAATAGCGCACGAATATTATTTCAACGGTTTTGACCGGCGCATAAAATAAGCTTAAATGCTGAGCCACATTATAAAGGGTTGAGTCAAGCTCCTGATTGTGTAAGATAGCACTTCCCTCAAATGAGCGCTTCTCTTCTTTCCTCAGAAGCTAGGCTTCTTTTTAAATTAAAGAAAATACTCCACCCCACAAAAACCTGGCATATTCTCGGTTCGCTTTACACTTATTCACACCAGAAACGCTGAATCATGACTCCGAGGTTGTAAAAGAAAAACTATTTCGGCTGGGACCCCAGGGTCCCTGGAGAAGCCTGGGCTCTGCGTTACTTCTCTCTGCACCTTCTGAAGTCTAGATGCAGAGCGGTCTGGCAGATTGGAGAGCCTCGGGGAGCAGCCAAGGGTGCAAGGCGGGGGCTGGGGGCTGGGGAGAGTCTTCAGCTCCCTCTCCTAAACCCACGCAGCCCTGTCAGCTCAAGGCTCCCGCCTCGCCTCATCTGAACGAAACCCTTAAGAGGCTGATACACTTCCCATCTGCAAAGCTGCCCAACAGCCTCCGAGAAATTCTCAACTTGGAAGCATAGCCACCACCGCCACCCCTCCGGAACCCTCTAGGTCCGCGCTAGTCCCACTTGGTCACGATCAGGCAGGCGATGGGGTGCGGAGGCGGTTCCACCAGCCCGCTCCCAGCACTGCCTCGAGAGAGAAGCCCGCTGAGAGCGCAGACACTTGAAAAACTCGATCCCAACTCCCCAGCGGGCGCCTCCCGAACCGCCCCGAGAGCCCAGATAAGCCGGGCACTGGATCCCGGAGCACAGTGCCATGCACATCCTGGAGAGGAGGGAGGTGTGGAGGGAAAGGGCGGCAAAAATGAAATGCCCCCAAGTCAGTCCCGCAACTTCTCCCGGACCGAGGGACGGGCGGAGGGTAGAGGAGGCAGCCGCGGCTAGCGCGAGGTGAGAGACTCACTTGAAGGTGAGGACGCAGAGCGGCCGGTAGGACTTGTGGCTGGTGTTCTCGGCCATGCCCTTGCCCCAGAAGTCGTTGGTGAAGATGCTCCAGCGGAGCGGGGCGCCTGGCCGAACGTCGGGGTTGTTCACGATCGCCCACACGTCGTCGTGCACGAACTCGCCCTGCAGGGAGCGGCCGTAGCACAGGCAGCTCGCCCCGGCCAGCAGCGCCGCGGCCCCGGCCGGCGCGAGCCCGCAGCCCTGCCGCCGGGAGGGTGCGCGGTCCCCGCCGCCGCCTCGGGCAGAGGTGGTCAGCACCATCGCGCCGCCGCCGCCGCTGCTGCCCTGGCCTCTCCCGGGCGTCTGGCATCCTCCCCTACCGGGGCCCCGGCGGCGCGCGGCGGCTGCCCGGAGGGGAGCTCGGGCATGGTGCTGCGGCAGCTGGACCCGCCGCGAGCGCCCCGCGCTCCGCCGCCTCCTGCGCCGCCGAGTTGGCCCAGCTGCAAATAAACAGCAGTCCCCCCGCCTCCCCCGGCCATCGCCACCTCCTCCGCCCCACTGCGCATGCCCGCTCGCTCTCTCCTCCACCCCCGAATCCCGGGACGCGGGCCGTTTCCCCCCACAGCCCGGCGCCCTCTGCCCCCGGCCCGCCTCGCGTGCAGGTGGAGCGGGGTTCGCGGCGCGCGGCTGCCCGGGAGTTGCGGAGAAGGGCACCCCGGGGTCCCAGTTGCGGTGCCGGGCTGTGCTCACCCCCACGCCCCCGCCCCCATCCTTCTCCCCCGAACGGGGCTGGGGAGGGGCACATCTGGCGGACCCCTCCCGGGGCAAGTAGGCGGGTTTAGCAGGTGCGCAGCCTGGAACCCCCACACCCACCTTCCAGGGAGAAAAGTGCCGCTGCTTCCCGGGAAGTTCTCGGCTTTTCAGCACCCGGGACAACAGCAGCGGTGCCCGGGGAGACGCTCTCCACCCGCCCCGTGCTCGCGTCCAGTCGCCGGCTGAGTGTTCTTCTGCCCGGGCTTTCTCTCACCCGCCCGGCGCCGCGTCCCGCAGACCCAGCCTCCTACGGAGGAACCCGCGGGGACAGGGAGCACCTTCACCAAAGCCAGCAGAAGGGGTCTCCCTGGACAAGGATCTGCTCGCCCTGCCCGGGTGTGTTCAGAGGCGCCACCAGCTCTTTAACTTACCGCCCATTTCTTCGCCCGCACTTACGAAAAGTACCAGGTTCGAGTTTTGGTTTGGGCCTGGGAGCCGAATTGGCTTCGGAAAGGTTTTTTATTTTATTGTTAGCTTAAACTCAAGATAATTTGGGAGATGCCAAGCAAAAAGCAAACTACTTTTTCTATCTAACTGGATCACTTGGGTCTCATTATTTCCTGGGCTGTGGGCGTGTTTGAACTGTTCCTGCTAATTCAGTAAAGGGCAGCGAAGAAGGTGGGGATGAGGGGATGGGAGGGGAGATTTGTATTAGGGCCTCTGGCTTTGGTTCCTAAACTTCCTATCTTTCTGAAAGATTGTTTTCTTTTTAAAAATACTAATTATAATAATGTATCCAGAGTGATGATTACTAGAATTTCTCCAGGTCTGAAAGTTCTATTTGTTCTTTCAGGCACCTTGTAAATTTCCATTGCTGTGTTAGAAATTACCAGGAATTTGACACATCCAAATAGAAAAACTGAAAATAAGAAGTCACCCTTTTATTCTCATCCTCCCCAAATCCTTAAAAAGCTCACCGACTGAAAAAATAAAATCCAGAAATTGTTCCTCTGCTATGAGTATTTGTGTGACTCTTTACTGTAACAAGTTACTTTTTAAAAAATTTTAAGACATCTGAGCAGTTGAAAAGTCAATGAATTAAGATAAACTTATTGTAACTCAAAGTACGTTTCACCCATTTTCACTTTGTTTATTTGGTGACTTCAAATTAGTGACAGAAATGAAACTGGAAATCTTGGACATGGATGTTTTCATTCTTTCATCAAAATCTTTCACCCTTGGTAACCTTAATATCTAACTTTAATATCTAGACACACCTGACCCTATCTCCCCATAAAACACACTACAGCCTTTCCTCTTCACTTGCCTATTAACTTAATACAAACATATTAAGGAGATTCTTTGTGCTACAATGTGCTAAGTAAAGGACTGGAAGACCCAAAGCTGCTCGTGTGTCTGTGTGTGTGTGTGTGTGTGTGTGTGTGTGTGTGTGTGTGTGTGTGTTTAACACCATAAAAGTCTAGCTTTCTAAGTTAACAGCTGATTGAGATAGTGAGGTTATCTTTGCTGGAATCATAGTTGATGTAATAGGTCAATGTCTCAATCCTTACTTATAATTAACAAAGGCTTTCTAGAGAGAACGTCTTAACCCAAAAGGGTGACTCTAGGCCAGGTGCAACGGCTCGCATCTGTAATCCAAGCACTTTGGGCGGCCAAAGCAGGAGAGTTGCTTGAGGCCAGGAGTTCAAGACTGGCCCTGCCTCAAAAAAGAAAAAAAAAAAAAAAAAAAGAATGACCTCTAATAGAAGATTTTTATAGAGAAAGTCTTTTTTCCTTCCTCAAATCATCCTTAAGTCATCCTTGTCCAAGAAAGACCTCTGGCCACCCCCTTCTCGGAGTTGTTTTGTTTTTTAGATGGAAACAGTATCAGAGTGCTCCATGACCATGGAGAGTAGTGCAGGACTCAGGGCTGAGACTCCAAAGAGATCATAAAAAGAAGAGATAAAGGAAGCTTCAAAGTGGGATTCCTGATTACATAATCTTTCCTCTAAGTTCAGTGGCATCTTTATTCTATTTAGCTCTCAGATGACAAATTTGAGATTGACTTAAAATAGTGAAATGCTTCAAGTCTTCTCAAGGACAAACAATCAGTAAATATTTTAAAAAATTAGTTCCTTCGGGCCTGGCACAATGGCTCACTCCTGTAATCCCAGAACTTTAGGAGGCTGAGGTGGGCAGATCAGGTCAGGAGAGCGAGATCACCCTGGCCAACATGGTGAAACCCTGTCTCTACTAAAAATACAAAAATAACCTGGGCATGGTGGCACACGCCTGTAGTCCCAGCTACTTGGGAGACTGAGGCAGGAGAATCGCTGGAACCTGGGAGGTGGAGGTTGCAGTGAGCCAAGATCACACCATGGCACTCCTGCCTGGGGACAATGCAAGACTCTATCTAAAAAAAGAAATAATAATAAATAAATTAGTTTATTCACAGCCGCATCACCTTCTGATTCAACACTGCTCTGTGTTGTAGGAAAAGTATAGAAGTACTGATGTCAGAGAGAGGTTTACATTGATATGCCAGCCCATCAAGCCATTTGCTTCTCTGTTAAAAAGTGGAAAACACCCATCTTGGCTAATAAAGGGGTCCAAAAGGAAATTAGATTTAATTCTTGTTATTTAGCCTCTGATTATTTTTAAAGGATTGATAATTAGAGCAATACTACCTCCTAAAACACCCTGTGTCCACTCAAAGCCATTTATAATAAAACTTACATTATTGTAGAAGTACCTCTCTGAGGCTCATATAGATTAAGTCACTCATGCAAATTAAGATGGACCATATTTCTAAAAGAGATTAGGACACAACTAAAAATAAATCAAGGGCAAGATATTGTAATAAAACCAATTTCAGATTACTGCTGACAACAATTCTTTGCTTGACCAAACTTTAGTTAGTTTTCCAAATCTTTTCCTAGCACTGTCAGTGTACTTCCTTGTAAAATCCAGTTTTAGCAAAGAACACTACAAAGTCAGTTTGGCAAGAGAGTGATCAGATATCGAGGGCAGGGGGTTCTTGCTGTATTTGAAGTTGAGTCCAATCTCTCCTCCCCACTGAAGGACCGCATTGCAGTGGTCCCTATAACTATCATGATGGTCCCGAATAAATTCTACCATGCTTTAACAAGTATTGTTGAATAATTTATTTTATTTTAACACTGCCCCCTGTGCTTGTTTTCAGCCTAATGATATCCTCTATTCAAATATAACCTATATAAATGGCCAAATGCAATATCACAAAGGTGACAATACCATTTACAAAAGAGATGATAATATAGTTTACATTAAAACATAATTTTTTGTTGTCTAGTTCTTTAAATATTACTGTTCTTGAAGAAAATACAGAAAAGTAGAAAGAAGAACAAAAAAGTTTAAATTACCCCCCACCCCATGGGCCTTCTTAGAGCACGTACAACAGGCAACACATGCTCTAAGAAGCTGGCTGTGGGCTGTGCCCAGACCTGGGCCCACACTGGTGACAGGAGAAGCAACAGTGGTAGCGTGGCTGCAGCCCCAGGAGGAAAAAGGGGCTCTCCATGGAGACTGTCTTTCCTTCCATCCCTAAAGCCTCTCTCTGTGTCACCTGCACAGTAATACAATTTAAGAGTATCAAAAATTATTTGTGACCTTGCATTTTCTGGCACTCAGGCAATAAACTTTGTCAGTATATTACTACAAGATTAAAGTATACCTATGTACATTGCAATAAAACATATTGCAGGAGAGAAAAACTACCTTTTTCTTCCTATCTTTTTTGGTTCCTGGCTTGATCTCTGTAACAAAAGACAGATTAACAAGAGAAATGCATACAAATTCGTTTAGTATATGTTTTACCTGACACAGGAGACTTCGTAAGGAATTGAAGACCCGAAGAAAGAGTTAAACCTGATTGTTTTCAAACTATGTTTGCTGAAGAATAAAGAAACATGGAAAGATATGATAGGATAAAAATGGGTATGAACTAAGAGTTGTAAAGTGGGGGAACCTTAGCAAGGCCTGTTTGTTCATATTTATCTGGGAATCACTGCAGCTTTGGAAATAAGGACAATCTCCTTGGAAGATAGGAAGGGCACCTCTCACATGAGCGTCTTATGACCTGCTTCATGGGAAGATCAGAAAGTCCTTCCTGAACCTGCCATTTCTTGAATTCCTTTGGCTTAAAATATTCAATATGTCAAGGTGTCATATTTTGGAGTAGCATGTCCTGAACCACATCAATATCAAAGATTTACCAGAATTCTTCAAAGAGTGGAATCTCTGGCTTTGAAAACTGCTGCAACATTGCAAAGCTAATATCCATAGTCTTAGAAATTATTGTGTATAATAGAAAAGAACACTGTTTTCATCTGAATGTAATTTTAATAACACATTTTATTTTACATTTTAATTATACATAAATCAAAAAGCTAGTTTTAGTGTTTTATACAACCTCTACAACTTATAGGAAATGTCAGAGGAAGCACTAAAATGCCATTGTATAAATTTACGTCTTAAATTAAAGTCAGACTTATACCAAACAGATTTGAATGAAGACTTAATTTTTTTTTCTTTTCTTTTTTTTTTTTTTTTTTTTTTTTTTGAGATGAAGTCTCACTCTGTTGCCCTGGCTGGAGTGCAATGGCACAATCTCAGCTCACAGCAACCTCCACCTCGCAGGTTCTAGTGATTCTTCTGCCTCAGCCTCCCACGTAGCTGGGATTACAGGTGCCCACCACCACACCCAGCTAATTTTTGTGTTTTAGTAGAGACGGAGTTTCATCATGTTGGTCTTGAACTCCCGACCTCAGGTGATCCACCCGCCTCAGCCTCCCAAAGTGCCGGGATTACCAGCGTGAGCCACTGCACCCAGGCCGAATAGTTAAATTTTTTAAGAAAAGTATTCCATCTGAATCAAGAGCTCTAGATGTTCTTTATATTTCAAAATAAAGTATCAGACATTTATTCCAATGTTGTCATGGCCTATAAAAGACTCTTAACTGCACTAGTCATAGTCGAATGAGCAGAGAGATGGTTCTCCAATTCAAAGAAGATTTTATTTTAAATCCTGATTCATAGCATTTGCTGATCGCCATGGTGCAGATATTTTCACCATGTTTGATTTCATGCAACCAATGTGGCCTCACTGAACGCAGAGATGGGAAGAGATATACAGCAGCACGTTAGTCCACAACATTTTCACCAAACGGATACAGCAGCTATAAATAAGACCAAGAGTATATTAACGGTGAAATAATTAAAACATGATGAGTTTTGAGCATTTATTATACTCATGTAAATCTAATTTGTAGAAATGGTTTCTATAACTTAATTTTGTACAAAATTGTGTTTAACAACTGGCTTGCAAAATTCCTAAGACTGTAAGAATTAATTTTTTGAACCAGTGCGCATTCACTCCAGCACATTATCAAATGAAATATGCTTGGTCATTATTTGTATTATAATTTTGAATTTGAGTGACAAGTAAGGGGAGGTGTGCTCATTATACCTATGCAGTAAAGAACGTTACTGAAATAAAGGTCTAACCTTTGCCTCAGCAATTGGAAGTTCACCTCTAGGCCCCCTGCCTAGAATGTCCTGCCTCATAGGCATGTCTGTTTTCCTAGAAGATTTGGCCACTGGACAATCTAATGCTATGGTTTATGGTGGGAGTCTTAAGCCACATAGCATTAGTTCTGACTTCTGGGGAACTGGAGACTAAAGGTATGAAGACAAACAGAATATGCCTCTCCAAAACATGCCAGTTTGGCATCATGATTGTTTTGAGGTGAAGACAATTAGCTCTCTGTCCCCCCATTTTCTGTCTAAAAGCAGGCCATGAATTTCCATTTTTAAAGGTATCTCCTCTCATGCCCCCCAAAAAACTACTCCAGAGACAATTCTTAGCACTGGACAGGATGCTTATCTGTGTAACAAACATACTAAAACAACCCTTATTTACTATACATTTCCTCTCCTCACTCCCCGTGCTGCCCTCACCTCCCCGCCCTCACATTCC